TCTATCAATTATAGCTGGACTTGACAATAAATAAATAAAAATGTTAATGGTTTAAAAGAGTAGTGGTAGGGGAAGATGAGTTAAGTAGTTTTAGCGNGTATTCTTTTTTTATTTAAAAAATAGCCTTAAAACGAAGACTTCTCATGTTAATTCTATCAATTATAGCTGGACTTGACAATAAATAAATAAAAATGTTAATGGTTTAAAAGAGTAGTGGTAGGGGAAGATGAGTTAAGTAGTTTTAGCGTTAGGAGGAGAGTCGCATGAGCATGTAGAAACAGGTTAAAAGTTGACAGTGAGTAATATTACTGGTGAGGTTGAGCATGTTTCGATATGGAATACTAGGAATAAATATAAACAAGCTGCTATTGAATTAGATCATGTATCAACAAGCTAAATATGTTCAGTATCTCGCTGGCCATCTAATGGCTACACTCAGTTTATATCCAGCATTCAGAACGCTACTGTGTTTGTATTCTTATTTCTGGAATATGGCTCGCAGAGGTTGTATAATTTCTCCTGACAGCTTCTGTTATGTTTGTGGTGAATATACAGTACAGAACATCCCCTTTATCTGATCCCCTCTTTTGGAAACAATGGGAGAAAAGGAAAAAGGAGCATGGGACTCGTTTAAGAATGTAATGCTTATGTTTTGGGGAAATACTAAGGACTCTGACTACAAAACTATTGTATAACTCATGCTGGCAGCGTATGAAACTCAAGGATGTAAGATAAGCTTAAAAGTTCATTTCTTACACTCCCATATTGACTATTTCCCTGTTCACTGTAAGCTCCCATATTGAAAGCTTACAGTGAAGAACAGGATGAAAGATTTCACCAGGATGTCCATGATATCGAGAGACGTTACTAAGGAAAATGGGATGTCAATATGTTAGTTGACTACTGTTGGATGCTCGATCGAGAAACCAGAGAAGGAAATCGGAAATTAATTCGGAGAAGCATCAAAGAGAAGAAGAAAAGGTGTCATAAGAAAAAATAGTAGACCTAAAATTGTGTATAAATATCAGAAACAATTTTTTGATTAGTTGTAAGAAAATAATTTAGTTCATTATAATAAATAAGAGTTTTTATTAAATATTTGTTTTTATTTTGTAAAAAACCTATATGTGATGGGATGTTACGGAAGTCATTTTTAGAATCGCCTATCTTTAAAATATATAATTCAGTAAAAATATCCCATGCAGCTGGAAAAATAAAATTTATTGCAGACCTGTGTTTTTTACTCATATTTTCTAATTCGGAAAAACAATTAAAATAGTTCTATATTTACTACATATAGTGTAAAAGCAAGAAAATTTTTTTTTTCGTATTAGCACAACATGGATTTTTTTTTCTACAAAATTTTATACAAAAATGGCCACATAACCCAACTTATTCGGATAAAGTGGCCAGTGACCGCTGTAGCACATGGAATTCCATTATTTCGTACAACATTAATAGCCTGCTGAATGGCATGAGAATCCCAGCCCTGCTGGTTTGTTTTTCGTCTGTAATTGAATGGCATGAGTCATCTACAAGAACAATGTAATGAATTTTCTGTAGGTAGCTTTAGTAATCTTAAATTCTTAGGCTTTAGATTAAATTATATTCAATCTTTAATACACTTTAAATAACTATATGACATTGATCTATTGCAGTTTTATTGATAAAATAATGTAATATAGTTTTTCTGGAAAGTGGCCAGGAAGGTGGACACTTTTTCCACTAGGACACCATTACAGAAAATCGTGTCTAGAATAAAACGGACCAAGCTACTGCACTCTATTCCACAAGGTTTTAAAGCCAAAAGCATACTTTTTGTATGAGTTTAAAGTAAATAATTATAAACTTAATACTATCTTAGACAAAATAAAGAGAATCATCAGACAAGAAGAAAACCACAAAATCTTTACTAACATTAAAAAGAATTATGTCAACTAGACCAGACTTCCGGCTTCCCTCCGGAGTTCAAATGCTTGCCAGTAGACAGCAACATTATCTCAGAAAATAACAGCGAATGGCAACTTTATCCTGCTCTCCCTTATTACATAAGTATTGTTTGTGCCATTTTTTAAATTTTAATTTTGGATAATTATTAAGAGTTAATTTTCTATCTAAATTTTTAAACTCTATTTCTCTATTTTTAACATTTAACAATCTAATATATACAGTAAATATTTTTTAATTCTGTGATATAAACATTCTTTTCCATACTTTCTAGACAATACAATATGATTTATAATTAATAGTTTTCTCTACATTACAAAATTTCTTATAAGTAAAGAAAGTAAATTTATCTAATCCATTAACTATGGTTATACAGTAGCCTATATAAATTTAATATTTTTTTCTGTTTTTATATTTCCATATCACTATTAATTTTATTTACATAGTTAAAGATAGTTATTTGATTTATTTGTTTCTCATCATATATTATTAAATAATCATCAGCAGGGACGTGCCGTGACATTTGATGATAGGGAAGCTGTGTTTCTATAAGAAGCCGACATCCAGGGGCAATCAGTTAATCAAATTCATTTCTATTCATTTCCATTCTATAATTGGAAACACATTTTTAACATCTAAACTTAATCTATCTGAATTTCCTTTTTTTAATTTACTTATTCTATTAATTACATCATCTGCATTTCTTACAGAAAATTGTGAATATTCTATTTCTATTGTTTCAAATTATACAATTTTGTAAACCGAAAATCAACTATTGGTCTGTATTTTTCTTCCTCCTCACCTGATGTTCAATTTAGGTACTCTATTATTTTTAAAATTAAGTATGAACTTTTCATTTTGTTCGCTTATGTAATTATTATTACATATTTCATCTATTTTTTTTTAATTAATTCTTTTTCAATTTCACAATATAGATCTTTATTTAATCCTATATATTTATGACTATTAACTTGTTCAATTATTTTAATCATCAAATTCTGGTGATCCACCATAAACAGCTGTTGACAGGATTAAAGTGATCGAAGATAATAATGTAAATTTCTGTATCCACGGAACAAAAGAAGAGTTACGAATGGGATTTCGAACAATTCGAGTTCGAGTTAAGGAGGATTTTCTGTATTGCTTATTAAAGCAAAATGTTCATTGTCCAAATTGATCAAATAAATTAATATTAAATGTAATTAATACGGGCAAGTATCGACGGAACTATTCTTTATTCAAGAACGTTTTACATAAGGACATTTTAATTACATATTAACAATTCAAGTATTGATATGAAGTTATTATAATAAAATTTATTAAAGGGAAAACGTGTTTCCAACAAACTTATCGTACATAAACTCTGTTCTGTATATTGAAACAGAAATTGAAAATTTCAGAAAATTCAAAAATATGAAACATTTTTTTTTTAAACCATGTGCTAAAAAAATACCAAGATCAACGGAAATGTAACTTTTTTAAGAGAATTATGAAATTCTTAGAAAATTACGTCTGCATATAAATAATGTAATGTTTCTAATCTGAAACTGTACAAAGATTCGGAAAACATATCATTCTAATTTTAAAATCAGTTTTGCCGATATCTTTCGATTATTATACGTGTATAGATAATATAAGTTTTGAAGGAAAACTATTTCTAAATGAGAATATTGTAATGTTTTTTGTTTTTAATCACGGTTTCGAAGGAATTTCACGGGACTTAATTGACGTTAATACGGCGTTCATTTGGTATGGATCCGAAGATGTGCAATTAAGTTTCCTTTTTGTGTAAACTTCTGCTTACACACGTCACAACCGTAAGGCTTTTCTCCAGTGTGGGTCCGAAGGTGTTTAATTAAGTTTCCTTTCTGTGTAAACTTCTGCTTACACTCATCACAAGTGTAAGGCTTTTCTCCAGTGTGGGTCCGAAGATGTGCAATTAAGGTTCCTTTTTGTGTAAACTTCTGTTTACACTCGTCACAAGTGTAAGGATTTTCTCCAGTGTGGGTCCGGAGATGTGCAATTAAGTTTCCTTTTTGTGTAAACTTCTGTTTACACACGTCACAACTGTAAGGCTTTTCTCCAGTGTGGGTCCGAAGGTGTCTAATTAAAGTTACTTTTTCTCTAAACTTCTGTTTACACTGGTCACAAGTGTAAGGCTTTGGTCCGAAGGTGTTTAATTAAGTTTCCTTTCTGTGTAAACTTCTGCTTACACTGGTCACAAGTGTAAGGCTTTTCTCCAGTGTGGGTCCGAAGGTGTTTAATTAAGTTTCCTTTCTGTGTAAACTTCTGCTTACACTCATCACAAATGTAAGGCTTTTCTCCAGTGTGGGTCCGAAGATGTGCAATTAAGGATCCTTTTTGTGTAAACTTCTGTTTACACTCGTCACAAGTGTAAGGATTTTCTCCAGTGTGGGCCCGAAGGTGTTTAATTAAGTTTCCTTTATGTGTAAACTTCTTTTTACACTCGTCACAAGTGTAAGGCTTTTCTCCAGTGTGAGTCCGAAGGTGTTTAATTAAGTTTCCTTTATGTGTAAACTTCTGTTTACACTCGTCACAAGTGTAAGGCTTTTCTCCAGTGTGGGTCCGAAGGTGTGTAATTAAGTTTCCTTTTTGTGTAAACTTCTGTTTACACTCGTCACAAGTGTAAGGCTTTTCTCCAGTGTGGGTCCGGAGATGTGCAATTAAGGTTCCTTTTTGTGTAAACTTCTGTTTACACTCGTCACAAGTGTAAGGCCTTTCTCCTGTATGCTTTCTTTCATGACATTGCAAAGTATGTTTAGTTGTAAATTTCTTCTTACAGTATTTACATGAAAATTTCTTTCCGTTCCTTTTATCTGCAATTAAAAAATTTGTTTTAAATAATATTTTATCTATGTATAATTTATCAAAATTTTTCAATCAGAACAATAATTAACCACTAATAATATTTAATTAAAAATAAAAATTTTTATATCTAAAAGTAGATTTCTGCATCAAAACACAATAACTAATTTTACAGATGATAAAGTTCTAGTATAAATATATATTATTGCAAATATGTTCAACCAGAGCTAAATCACAAACAACATATTAAAGTAAACAATTTCTGTAAAACATTTTAAAAGCGTTTGTATATCTTCATGCTTTTGCATTGATCCTTATTTCTATATCCATGAAATAAATCTATCTTCTGCTTCTTCAATTATATTTTAAAATGAGGAGCATCGATGTAAGTAAAACAGCATACAATATTTTCTTTAATCTTGGAAAATATTTTCTTCTTAAACTGTTTCATCCAAAGAACAACTGAAAGTAATAACATGTATTAATTTAAATTTTATAGATTTTACTCCAAGTAACTTTTTAATATTAGAATGTTTGTTTTATTCATATCCCCATTGTTAAATGTAGAATTATATATATGTATATATGTTGGATTCAGATAAAAAGAATACTTTCCTTCGTAACACGTTTCTTATAAAAGAAATACACAACGTACAAGCCTGTAAAATACAAACTTTTAAGAGTGAATCGTGGATTTCATTCTTGCTGGATTGAATTTCGTTCTTCTCCTTTTTAGATTCTGTTTTCTGAATTTTCAGGGTGAAAATTAGCTAAATGAAAAAATAAAAGACATTTCCAAATATCAGACAAATTCATATTCAAAATATTTTGTACAGTGATTAAAATTTCCATTCTCTACGCTAAATCTTTTAAAATAAATAATTAAAAAGAGAAGTTTTGCATCAAATTTACAGTGTACTGTACACATTTTTTGAAAAATTTATTGTAATTTTACTAAATCTACTCTGGTATTCAAACCTCAACTATGATCATATTAATTAATTAAAAATGCTTTCATTAACTTTTATTACTTAATTTAAAAAATTCAGCAACGAGTTGCTTAACTTACCCAGCAACATTTAAATCTGCTTGTGTGCCGCCACCTGTTATGGTATTTTTTAATTAAAAATAATTTTATATTTTTATTCCTTATAAAATCGCAAAAAGGTTAATTTTTAAAGTATGGATGGGTTTTATAAAAAAAAATTGTAAATGCTAATAACGAATGAAATCATTAAGTTTGAAATCATTAAGACCTTACTGGCGATATAACTTAACCCCGGTTTATACAAGCAAAATTGAATAGCAAAGCCAGCACCTAATACACAAACCTCCCTGAGAATTTAAGAAATTTTCTACAGAAAGCAAAGGAATTACTCCTATTAAGCTTCAAACAGGATGAAGAAAATATTACCTCCCACATACTCACACAAACATCCATAAATACAGAAAAATTGCTCTGAACTTTTTGTTTTTCATTTCTCGACTTTAAAGCAGTGGCGTACCGTGGGTGTCAGCCGCCCGGGGCGAAGGAAAATTTCGGCCCCCCTTATTTAAGTATTTCAATTTAAAAGACCAAAATTCAGTTTTGTCACAGAACAAGCAATGAAAAATTCAGTGGTAGTGCACCGACCTGTTTAAAATAGTTCTATTAGATATTAGTGGTGTATATGAACGCGAATGAATCGTACAAGCAAGAAAAAAAAAAAAAGGTCAACAGGTTTCGCAGGAATTCCTCGGACGAAAAAGTTACTGAAGTTCACCCGGCGAGCCGATTCCCGGACTGTCTGGACGATAGCACTATCGTAGGCGCGATGCATGCATAGATTAGGATGTTTCAAATTTTTACAAGATATTATTATTTATTGGGAAATTTTGCCGCCACCTAAAAAGTGCCGCTCGGGGCGGGCCGCCCCTGCCACGGTACGCCACTGGTTTAAAGGTTCCGAGTCCAAAAAAATGAAAAATCTTGGATCAGTTTTTGACCCATCGCCATAATTTTTCCCGGTTATATATAACAGCCGTGAAAGTAATTATTAAAGTAAAATAAATTTTTAAACTAGAGAAAGTTAGCAATTTAAATGATTATCAACAAAATAAAATACTATCAGAATATTCTAACATATTCCGTTTAGCTCACAACCCTTCTACGACGGCACGAAGTCTACATTTAGATCCCTACATAACGATGACCCCAAACTGTTATCAAGGTCAGAAATACACAAGGTTGAAAGTAAAGGAAAAAGCATCAATTATAACAAAGAGACTTTATTAACGCACCGGTATTTTCCGTGTATAATGTAAACAGATCTTCCCGAAAATATTAATATATTTGGATAACGTATATAAAATATAAATATAAATTAGAATGAAGATATGCTTCCTATAGTATATTGAAGTAGAGATGACTTTTAGATAACCCTTGTATATTGTATATAAAAATACAGCATAAATAATAACATGTACAAATAAGGTAACATGTACAAATAAAACTTATTAATTAATATATAAATTATTTTCTAAACGAATTTATTATTATTATTATTATTTTATATATACAAGGTATATATATATATATTCATAAACACTGGCTGATTATAGGCTGATTATCTATGTACAGTGAAAACTGCTTAGGCGTCCACCTGCATTCGACGGGCACCTGTCAAAACGGGCAAAAATTTCTGGCACGGAATAATTTATCCATAGAGTCTTCGTAAAAGTTAACTGTATTAAACGACCACCTGTGTAACGCGACCGCGGGCATCGATTTTTGGTCCGAAACAACATACAACACCTGTAATAAGCGAACACTTTCGCGAATGTATCTGGTCTAAACTATTGTAAGAACCCATCTCAACAACGTTTCCACCTCCTAATATAATGAATTAGTCTAAACTCTCGTTCGAACCCATCTCGGGCACTTCTCCCACCCTTGAAATTAGGTGCAGGTGTTAATAAATTAGTCTAGCAACAAAGGAAATTCATTTCAGTTTGTTGGAAAATGTCCGAAAT